AGTTTGTGGGTCAAGGTGTCGTGGTTTAAGGCCAGACGGCAAACCAGAACCACGCAGCTGCTCACTCACGCCCCCTCCTTCCTCCTCATGCTCCCGGAGGGATGGAGAGGAGAATTAAAAGAATGTAACTCCCATGGGTTGAGATAAGAGCAGTCCAGTAACTAAGGTACAATCACTACTGCTACCACCAATAATAATAATAATAAGGAAAATAACAAGGGAAAAGAATATAACTGCTCACCACTGGCAGACTAATACCCAATCCGACCCGAGCAGTGATCTCTCCCTTCCAGGTAAGTAACCTCAGTTTATATACTGGGGATGACGTGCTGTGGTATGGAATACTTCTTTGGTTAGTTTGGGTCAGGTGTCCTGTCTCTGCTTCCTCCTGGCTTCCCCTCCTCCCTGGCAGAGCAGGAGACTGAGAAAGTCCTTGGTCAGAGTAAACATTACTGAATAACAGCTAAAAACACCAGTGTTACCAGCACTGTTCCCAGGTTGAAAGTCAAAAACACAGCACTGCACAAGCTACTAAGAAGGAAAAAAATGATTGCTACTGCTGAACCCAGGACACCGGGTTAAAGGGAGAACAGTGATGGGAGACATTACCGTGGGGATCTGTTACAGACTGCCTGACCAAGAGGACTCTGTGAATGAAGCACTCTATAGAAAGACAGGAACAGCCTCATGCTTGAAGGCCCTTGTTCTCATGGGGGACTTCAACCACCCTGACATCTGTTGGAACGATGGTACGGCCCAGCACAAGCAACCCAGGAGGTTCCTCATTTGTGTGGAAGACAACTTCCTTCTGCAAGTAATTGAGGAGCTGACAAGGAGAGGTGCCATACTTGACCTTGTGCTCACCAACAGGGAAGGGTTTCTCGGAAATGTGACGCTCCAGGGCAGCCTTGGTTGTAGTGATCACGAGATGGTTGAATTCGAGATCCTCAGGACAGTGAGAAGAGCATGAAGCAAGCTCACTGCCCTGGACTTCAAGAGAGTAGACTTTGGCCTCTTTAATAGCCTGCTTAGTAATGTTCCATGAGATATAGCCCTAGAGGGCAGGGGGAGAGCAAGACTGTTGGTTGGTATTCAAGGATCACCTACTGCAAGCTCAGGTGTGTTGCATCCCAACTAGAAAGAAGCGCAGCAGGAGGGCCAGGAGACATCCTTGGATGGATACAGAGCTGCTGCAGAAACTTCAAAGGAAAAAAGAGGCTTATAAAAGGTGGAAGCAAGGACAGGTGGCCTGGGAAGAATGCAAGGTAGCAGGTTAGGAAAGCTAAGGCCCACTTAGAATTAAACTTGGCTAGGGATGTTAAAGATTTCAGGAAGGGATTCTATAGGTACACTTCAAATAAAAGACAGACTAGGGACAGTGTGAGCCCTCTCCCGAAGCTATCAGGAGAACTGGATACCCTGGATTTGCAGAAGGCTGAGGTTCTTAATGGCTTCTTTGCCTTGGTCTTCACTGGCAAATGCTCTGACCACACCACACAAGTCTTGGAAAGCAGACGCAGGGACTGTAAGAACGAAGACCTTGGGCCCACTGTAGAAGAGGATCTGGTTCAAGACCATCTGAAGAACCTGAACGTGCACAAGTCCATGTGACCTGATGAAGTCCATCTGCAGGTACTGAAGGAACTGGCAAAAGAAGTTGTTAAGCCACTGTCCATCATATTTGAAAAATCATGGCAGTCAAGAAAAGTCCTCTATGACTGGAAAAAGGGAACTATAGCCCCCATTTTCAAGAAGGGGAAAATGGATGACCCTGGCAATTACAGACCAGTCAGTCCATCTCCGTGCCTGGCAAAATCTTGGAGCAGATTCTCCTGCTAAGGCACATGAAAAAAAACAAGATGCTTAGTGACAGCCAGCATGGCTTTACTAAGGGGAAATCCTGCCTGACCAATTTGGTGGCCTTCTATGATGGGGCTACAGAACTGATAGACAGGGGTAGAGCAGTTGATGTCATATACCTGGATTTGTGCAAAGCGTTTGACACTGTCCCACACAACATCCTTGTCTCTAAATTGAAGAGACATCAATTTGATGGATGGACCACTCGGTAGATAAAGAACTGGCTGGATGGCTGCATGCAAAGGGTTGTGGTCAATGGCTCAATGTCCAGCTGGAGACCAGTAATGAGTGGTGTCCCTCAGGGATCGGTTTTGGGACCGGTCTTGTTCAACATCTTCGTCGCTGACATGGACAGTGGGATTGAGCGCGCCCTCAGCAAGTTTGCCAATAACACCAAGCTGTGTGGTTCGGTTGATATTCTGGAGGGAAGGAATGCCATCCAGAAGGACCTTGACATGCTTGTAAGGTGGGCTGATGCCAACCTTATGAAGTTTAACCATGCCAAGTGCAAGGTCCTACACCTGAGTTGGAGCAATCCCAGGCACAGCTGCGAGATGGGCAGAGAAGAGATTCAGAGCAGCCCTGTGGAGAAGGACTTGGGGGTGTTGGTAGATGAGAAAGTGAACATGAGCCGGCTTCAGTGTGTGCTTGCAGCCCAGAAAGCCAACCGTATCCTGGGCTGCATCAAAAGGAGCATGACCAGCAGGTTGAAGGAGGTGATCCTGCCCCTTGCTCTTGCGAGACCTCACATGAAGTATTGTGTGCAGTTCTGGTGTCCTCAACATAAAAGGGACATGGAACTGTTGGAACAAGTCCAGAGGACGGCCACGAAGATGATCAGGGGACTGGAGCACCTCCCATATGAAGATTGGCTGAGAAAGTTGGGGCTGGAGAAGAGAAGACTGTGTGGAGACCTCATAGCAGCCTTCCAGTATCTGAAGGGGGCGTATAAGGATGCTGAGGAGGCACTCTTCATGAGGGGCTGTAGTGATAAGACAAGGGGTAACGGGTTAAAACTTAAACAGGGTAAGTTTATATTGAATATAAGGAAGAAATTATTAACTGTGAGGGTGGTGAGGCACTGGAATGGGTTGTCGAGGAAAGCTGTGAATGCTCCATCCCTGTCAGTGTTCAAGGCCGATTTGGACATGACCTTGGGCGACATGGTTTAGAGCGAGGTGTCCATGCCCATGGCAGGGGGGTTGGAACTAGATGATCTTAAGGTCCTTTCCAGCCCTAACTATTCTATGATTCTGTAACAGGTTATACTACAAGTACTAACAATGGTGGATTGAATTTTATGATCCAGGAATCTGCTTCTCCCTGTCTAATGTGATACTCTGAGTAATCTATAAAAGATGCTTTTTCCTACAGGTCCACCAAATTTAGTAATTTGTGTGCATAGAAATACCTCCTTTCTGTTCAGCAAAGTACCTAAGACTGTTATCTTTTGATGTTTGAGTAAGTTATTAACTTCAAATGCTTTTCTGTAGAATTTCTGTAGAGAGGTTTCAATGTCAGCTCCTCTTGTACACTGTATCTTTGCACACTAAATGTACACAAACATAATTCCTACAAATTCTGAAGAAAATATTAATGATGCTACTTAAATAAGCTACCAACTTGTGAAATTACTGTGATATTCTAAATGGTTATGATATTAGACAGATTTTTGCCCAAACCATGAGTTTAAATGTTTTTAAAACAATAAGAAATAGTGAATATGAGTTGTATCACAAAAAAAAATACTATAAAAATGTAGTAATGGTGTAAAAACAATTCAGTTGATCTTGCTGAAGTTTTATGTTCAAGAGATAGGAATACTGTTCCACACCACTTTCTTTTGCATGTCTTTGAGTCTAATGAGATAGCGGGTTTGGGTCTTTTTTTTTCACGAAGAAAACAATTTGAACTAATGTACACGAAATTCACAATGCTGCTAATGTGTTCTCAGAAACTGAAGCATGTATTGATAAAATGGAAATGTCCTTGGGAAAATTTATTTCAGTTGCAATTTGTTTGGCTCCTGCCACAATTGGACAAAGGAGTTGAGTAGGTGCCAGAGAAAATGAGAAACTGAGCACTCAGTCATCACCCCTGCAATTCCAAAATTTTAATTGCATCGTTCACTGTGAGACTTTGGGGAGAAAAGTTCTGAAAATGGAACATGTCATGAGTATTATATTGCTGACAGTCTTTTTTCTTATTCCAGACATCTCAATCACTGCCAAAGAGTGCAACCCATCTCCCAGGAGCATGCCTCTGGTAAGGACAGTTCCTGCATCAGTCATTGGGGAAATGCAGGCAAATTATGCAGATGAAGAATGTGACCATGTGTATCTTCAGGGAAAAAGTAAAACAATAACATTCTTCAGCTATGTTTGAGTATTTAAATGAAGCTGAACCTTTCATGTGCACAAATTGCAATAGAGATGACCTACTATCTCATTTGTAAGTATCTGAGTGGGAGCCTGATTGACAGGGCAGCTAGTTAATTTTGTAGACACCCACTGTCATGAACAAAATTTGTGCCTAACTCTGAAGGTGCCTGAAACTTTCTCTACATCAGCTTTCCTCTGGGGAAGCTGTTGGTGTATTTTAATATCCACACGAACCTTTAGAGCACAGAGATACTAGGCAGCTGATGAAGGCCTAAGCTCTAGGTTTGCAAAATATTCACCTACTTCACCTGGAAGTCCTGTGCTCAGGCATGAAATAATTAACAGTGCATTGGCCTGGAACAAGAAAACAAAAATTCACTTAAATCTATTGCTTTTAGTTCAGGATAATCACTTGGGGGTGCAAGAACTGGCTTTCTGCCTCTGTTCTAATCACTAAATCTGTGTTTTCCAAACTGGTGAGGAAGATCTGGTCGGTAGAGGCAAGAAGGGAAAGACACAGATGAGGAAAACATATTATTTCCATTTATGATGATGAAGGAGGGTTAGTTGGATTGTGTCCTTTCTTGATGATGGAGGAAAGCTAGCTGGCTTGCAATAGGCAAGTATGGAAGGTATATAGTTCAACCATGAGAGGTCAGCATTTTAAAGGAAGAAGGTAATCCACAGAAGTCATTGTCCCCTCTCTTGGGTGAGTCCTGTGTTCTGGGTGAAGCGGAATAGCTCAGAAAAGCACGAGTGAGGAATTCCCCATGCAGGGATGCTGCTCAGATGAGTTTGTAGCATTCTGCTCCCGCACTCATGGTGAATAATCCCAGTGCTGAGCTATTGACTATTAGCTCCTCTTGTGTTTGAAACAACTTGACAGGTTCCTGGTATTTGAAAGGAAGAGCTTAGTATTGTGAATCTCTGAGAACATTAGGATACTAACAAGAAATGCAGTTTAAATTACCCTCTCCTTCAGTGTATCTACCACACTGACAATCTAAATCCCTGTTCAAGGAATGTTGAGCCCCCAGTTGTTGAGCACTTGATTATCCTCATGCTGAGGTGGCTAATTTGAATGGCCTGAATTTCACAATGTAGAAGGTCATCTACTATTTAGGTCTCTTAAATCCCCAAGATTCTCCTATGAATTTATTCTTTTGTGGTATTTTAGGAATGACACTCAGCACACAGAATTTTAACAGATGCAAATTTGAGTGCCACTGAGTATATTTTTAAAGCCAAATGAGTGTTCTTCAGAATAACTTTCATCCAAAGTTGGAGAAGTTCCACAGCAAACTGAGATGAAATTTAGTAAGTTGCAGCAGGACAGACACTGAAGTGTCCTAGAATTTTACTAACATGACAGATATGTTAAACCTCCCATAGGCTATTCTGTGTTTGCAATAGCTTAGCAAAGAGCCATTCCTATTAATGTGATGAAAAAAATCACATTTAGATTCAAAAGCGATTAAACCCCATGAAAATTATTAAGTCAGACACTCAGAGGCACTTACATCAGCTATTGGTACTCAGTGCTGAAATGGTGAGCTAGAAAACTACTTCAATTTTGGGGTTCATTAAAAATAAGAAATAGAATTGGTCTTACAGGAATCTGTATTTTTCAAATAAAGAATTCTTACCTCAAAAATTAGCATTATGGTTATATTAAAACTTTATTACCCTTGCTGCCTTCCTATTATTGTCTTAAAACACTGATTTTCAAATAAATACAATGACAGACCTGCTTGAAAATGTTCCCTAGGTTTATAAAAGGAGCATGGAAAAATTCTGTTTAAAGTGAATAGCAAAGCAATAAACTGGTCTGTGAAGTAACAGCTTCTAAATTTCTCATGAAGTGCTTCCTCTGTTTTTCTGATAGCTCAGATTTAAGGCATTTGGCAACAGACTCAACAGCTTAGAGCTGTGTTCTAATCTGGAGACAATATGTAGCCTTTATTTGCATTTTTTTCCCTGAAAGATGATATACAGTTGGTATGAAATCTCACAGGGAATTCATTTGTGTAAAGTACTTATTCTGAAGTCAGATGTGTAAAGTCCTTATTCTCTGGTCAGTCTCTCTTAGGCTTATTTTTTAATAAGAAATGGTGAAATTAAGATCTTAGCTGAAATTTCTGGGTGTTAGTCCTACTTCTTACTCTTAGTTGGCCAAGACATTATGAGTGTCTATGGCAGCTGATAAAGAGATGGTGCCTGAGGCAAACTGGCAAAGCACAGTGATTTACTTTTTTAATTGCTGGCATAGAACTGATTTTAGCAGTTGTATGTATTATGAATAGAAGGCCCTGTATTCTGCATGCTTCATGCATGCAACTTAATGAATGCAAGACTCTGTAAAACCTGATTAGTTGAAGGAAGTGTGATTTATCTTAGGGTAATAAATGAAGGTTGTGGGCTCATTTGAGTGTGCTGAACTGTCATTCTACAATGTTTAAATACTCCTTTTGTAGGTGAAAGGGAAATAGTATAAATTAACATGTGGATTGATATTTTCTTTCACCACAGCTTTGTTATCTGCAGCAAAACTAACTGCTTTCCATTTGAGTACTGATAAGTAACAAAGGACAAAGTTTTGATGTAATTAGAATTTAAATGGACTGTAATAAATTATTTCCTTGTTAGTCTGATTTAATCTATATTACGCTTTTTTTATAATTGCTAGCTTCCAATGCTTTGTTACTGTGTTTGAAAATGTTGTGCAAAGTATATTCAGCCAACAGAAATTAAGATAATTTTAAAGTATATTTCCTGTTCAAAATGTATGACCTCTGCTCTTCCTCAGAAAGGTGGAAAGCTTAATTTTTCTTTGTATGTTTCACGTGTAAATACAGAGGAAGGAGTAACACAAATAACATACACAACACAGCAGACGAAATGACGAAACTTGCGAAAATGATCAGTGTTTTTTATTCCACAGGATTGGGGATTTTTTTCTTATTCTTTTGGGTGAACATTGCAAAAGTAATTTTGTCAGCATGAATTCTTCTCTGTCATAAAGTCACTTATTCTGTTAGTCTGTGTTTTACTTAAGAAATGTGATTATGGCCTTCATTACAAATGTTTTCCCTCAAGCTCGTTTCAAACAGATTTTGATTCTGGGGATGGCTGATGCATGGTTTTTCTTGTTTTACAGGTCTGCTGTTAGTGACATTGTGTATTGTTGCAAGTTTATAGGAAGTAAAGAAAAAGTAAGCCACAAAGTAAAAATGACCAAGAGCTCAGTGAGGTCAAACATATCTTTCTTTTTTGTAATTATTTATTCTAGTAGGTTTTGTTGTGGGGGAAGCAGTTGTGTAAATAACCTATAGAACTAACCATTCACTTGGATGTTCAGCTTGACATCTAGGCCTGAGCAATCTGCTTCCCTGATTCAGCTCTGTTAGGATATTGGAAGAATTAAATACACAAAATAAGAGAGGGGAGGAACTACTGCTGTAAACATTGAAAGTGGCAAAAAGGAAGAGAATGAAAAAGTAAGGCTTCTGTACATTTGTTTGAGTATTGCCTCCTCCCAGCCCCCTTTTGTGATGATTGCTCCTCCACCTCACCTGATTCACTGAATATGGCTGATTTAACGTGGGTGGTTGGCTCTGTAGTCAATCTACATGGTGCAAGGGTAGAAAGACTTAAGTACCTGCAAGTACTCAGGTAACTAAGGGAGAACTAAAAATAAGTCTGGGACAGAAAAAGAATGCCTAAACCCTTGCCTAGGCAGTCTTCGCCTAAGTAAACTAGGTGATGCTAGAAGCTGTACCCTTCTGGGAGAATGGTGGTGTTATGGCAGCCACCCCTTTCTTGGCAGTGTTTCCACTAGGTAGGTAAGACTTCTTGGCTCACAAAATCTGTTTGCAAACTTTGTGTACACACAAATGAATTATTTCAGCCATAACATGGATGCAGCTATCGGTACCCTGTTGTTCTTCAGCTGGCAGCAATTCTTGGGGATTTGTCTCATGGCTGAACAACTGAAGTCACGGTGGTTTTGCTGTACACCCTGAGAAGTAGGTTGTGGCAATTAACCTGTGAGAATATCCTACTGGTTTAGTGCTGCACAGAAAACTTCCCTGGCTGTTCTGAGCAGTAACAGAACATCTTTGTTATGAAATCACAAGAAACCTCTTTCTGGCACCCATGAATCTTGTGCTGCAACTGCTTTATATGCCAAATATGTCTCACATATAAACATATTATAAATCATCCGTGCTTTATTAGAAAAGCATTACCAAGCTCTGACAAAGGGTACTCTCAGTAGGTTCAGTTGTTTGCTCCCATCTTAAAAGAGGAATGTGAAAGTCCGTTGTGTGATCAGGAATTCTTGGCAAACCCAACTCTTGGGAATGCTGCAGACATAACTGTTCCCCTTGGCTAATAAACACTGCAGGCTGTTATTAAACTAGTCCAGCCAGCATCAGAGAAAGAGCCCCAGACTTTGCACTAATTACCAAAAAGGAAGAATAAATGCACTTCATGCAGAAGGGGTTGTACAGCAATTTCTCTTCAAGGTGTACATACCTGTAGGGAGGTGGGCTGTGCTCATAGAAGCCAGGAAAAAGGCATTTGATGGTTTTGGAGTGACTCTCCTACCCCCTCAACAGTTCTGTACTGTAATGAAAACATTGGACTTCCTTGACACTGACCCTGCTTTGGAGAATGTCTCTAAAGTAGCACCTAATCCTGAGCTGTTTGGAATTTAAATGTCTCCTGGAAATAGGTTTTTAGCACCAAGGGAATGCAGAAAATCTTTGCCTGAGGTATTTCGGACTAATTTATACTGGTGCTCCTGATCTCAACGTCTTTTTTTTATATATATATATATATATAACTTTTTTTCCTCCCTCCCATCAACATGAACAGTTTGTTCAAACTAGATGTATTAAAACTGCTGAGAGATGCACACAGCTGTCAAAGGGATTGAAGCCAGTGGAAGAGGGAGAAACAACATGCTTAGTGTCACTGTATCCTTTAATCACAGTTAAGGAAAAATTTGGTTAAATTTCACCAGTAAAGATCTAGGCTGATTTTGCTGAATTCCACATATGTCACATTCTTGAACTGTGAATTTATGAGTGAGGTGTCAAGAGAGAAGCCTGTCCCACATGATTTGAGAGAGCCTTTGGTTTTAAGAGAACAAAAGACATTGAGGAAATGCTGAGATTAGAAAGTGGGATTTTTTTTTTTTCAGGTAAGGCTCTACAATGAATTCCAATGGATTGTTTCATAGTAAGGATTGCTTTTGAGGGGTAGGTATTGTATAAGTCACAGCATACTCTCCTAAAAATCACTTAAGAAAAATAGGAGCCCTCCTTTTTCAACAAGGGATGTGACTCTCTGGATTTAATGTATTTAGTAACTAAGATGAAAGACCAATTCCACTGCAAAACACAGGAAAAGCAAAGGGCTTTTGTTTTACTGCAGTGCACAGTAGGTGCAGTCAATTGTTGTTGAAACACAGAAATATCCTTTCCAGGGCAATCTTACTGTGTAGCTATAATGACATTTTTTAAACTGGGGTTTTCCAGAGAACAGTTATTTTTTCAACAAAAAAGGAAAGATTTTAAACAAAGGTTTTAAAAACTTGTTTTCATTTTGAATTAAAAATATGTTAAAATAATTTTGAGCAGAAGATGTGTTAGAAATGTCAGAAGGTACTTCCTAGTTTAAAGCATGGGATGCTGAGGTAGGAAATGGCCTCAAGGTCTTGTTTTGAACCAGAAAAAGCAGGACTTTACAAAACAATTTTCTGTATGTGATATAAAAATCTGGCAACAGATTTTTTTTTTATTTTTTTCATAAGGAAATTCGTTCTTGATCTGATCAATACAACTTTTGGATTTTCTTTCTTGAACTTAACATATTTTGGCCAAGAGAAAAAAAAAAGACATTTTCCAATTGGATGTTATTTTAAAAATATCTCAAGAAATGTCTTGCCTGAGTCAACAAGTTGTAACTGACAAATGCAGGTATATGGCAGTTGAAGTCAAATCTTTAGGTTAAAAAATAGTGACTATTTCTCTTATTGCCAAGTGTCCTGTGTATAAGTCATATATGAATAGAAAGCCATAAATGCCAGCTACTTCATCAACATGAAAATTAGAAATCTAAAAGTGCCTTGGCAAAACAGCAAAACAGTATTAAAAAAAAAAAAAATAAAAAAAAAAAAACCAAGAAAACAAATACTTTTACTTCTGAACGTATGAATAAAAACCCTTTTTAGATCTGCTGGACTAAATCACTGCCCATTGCCTTATGCTCCATGGAGCAGAGTTTACATCAAAACTCCAAAAAATATAAAGATGTCAAATTCCATTTTTCCAGAGGAAAAGGATGTTTTTGTGGGGTGTTTAAATTTTCACAGCCTGTCACTCAAACGATGCTGTTGGCAAGCTTGCCCTACTTTACCAGTGCTAACAGAAGAGTGCCAGGTGGCAGCTAAGGATGGGAAAAAGCAAGAAGAAACTTAAAAACACCACTAAAGAAGGTAACTAGAGAAGCCTGTGGCTGAAATTCTTCCATTATGCACACTATTTTCCATAGCACTTAAAACTATGATATTTCTTAGCGAATGGAAGAAAGGATCTTTCTAAAAAACATAATAGAGAAAAAACATAATAGAGAAAAACATAATAGAGAAAAACATACATGCAACACACCCTCTAATTTGCACTTACTTTGCAGCTTGGCATGGAATTTCTGCAGGACAAGTGTACACTTTACTGTCATGATTTCAAATTTTGTTTCTAAAAACGTTTTTACACACGGTTTAAGCTCCCACTGAAACTGGGAATCATGCTATTTTAGCAATTTCCTTAGCCACCTTCTTGGTTTATGATACGGTAACTGTAGTAACATGTTCTGTACAAGAATAAAGTAAAAGTTATCGAGACACTGCTACAAAGGCAAAAGAGTTAACTGAACCAGTAGTGACATTCCCCTTGAGTAAGCAGACATGGGGAATACCCTGCTGCCTCTGCTTGACTGTATAGCATTTTGCTGATTAAGTGAGGGATACTCCTAGTAGAATGTAACAGGACTGTCACACAATATCTCATTGCAGAACATGGTACTGGTAGTAGTATCTCAGGTCCAAATTAGCTCTTCAGACAGGGTATCTACATGTTTTCTCAAGGCTGTGGCAAATGACATTGACAGCTGTGACAATGTAAGGAGAAAATAAGTAAATAGTAGACTGTTTAAACAGTCTGTGAAATATATGCACACAAATACCACATATTACTTTGAGGGTATCCATAGAGCTTACTGTGCTTTTAAAATATTTTTTCTTTACTTGTCTAAGAACATTTTATTGGCAAGAATATTCAAGAGATAAAGTGTTTTGACTACATCTATGAATAACCTAAGAGTCACTCCAGAAATGTTTGCACAAGCATATTCAATGTCTCTTGCATGTTCAGAAGTTGCTTATTCAGAGAGGATAAGCAGGTTGGTGCAAAACATATAAACAAGAAGCATGGGCTTTTCTGAGTACATTGTGAAGAACCCGTAGGTTGAAATCTTCTTACATGACTTTTATTTTAATACATCAACAATTTCATTCAAGACATGACCTGACAAAAGGTGACTTTAAAAAAGGTAACACACACTGTCTCCAAGATAGAGCTTAGGGTCTAACAGGTGTTGAAAATGCTGCAGACAAAAGGCCTAAGATTAGCTGAAGACTGAATGTTGATGATGCATAAATTCAGCTGAGAAATCAAGGGCATAAGCTAGCCATGGGAATGAATAATAGGTAGAGTACATATCAAATGCAGTTGTAAGTCTTCTATCTGTCGATGTCTTCAGGTCCAGAAAGGATTTTCTTTTCTCCCCCAAAGATATTTATTCACAAAGCACAAGCTTAGTAAAAGAGTTACTACATGAAATTTTACAGCTGGTATAATACAAATGGACAGGTTATGTGATCTAATGATCCATAGTCTTAAAATACGTTAATGGAGAGGTCCTAACATACTGAATGCATTTATTAGTTTTCCGAGAAACCTATGGGAATTAAGCACCTAAATCCCCATAAAACTAAACCTAATTCAGTGTATTTTCTGGTCACTTCTGTCCAACTCATCTGTCTCTTCTTGCTATAAATGTAGAATGAAAGTTTCCCGAGGAAAACCAGAATAACATTCTGTCTATTTTACACTTTCTGAAGTTCAGTGAATTTCTTTATGGACTAAAAACTAAATGTTTCTTAACAGAGGACCAGAGAAATGAAATCTGGCAATGTTTTCTAACATACAATGTAAATGCATTTGGTTTGTAAATATTGAAGCATCTTTTCTTCAGCTTTCAAGCTAATCAAATCCTGACACTATTTACAGAAAAAGGGACTACTGGTTCCCTTCTTTCTTTTCCTTTTTCTTTTTTTTTTCCTTGAGATTTGACAATTTGGTGGCAATGCTGTAAAATCAAAACCTGTGAGTAACACAGTCTATCATTTCTCTGCAGCTAAACAATATTTCTGCAACAATTCCTGTGAAGTAAAGGAGGGATTTTTTCATGTGATCTCACCTGGCATGACTGGTGTCACCCTTTGTCACAACCACAACTGGATGTTGTTTAATGGAAGCAATCGTGCATTTAGAGACACCAGTTTCTTTGGTAAATGGTTTAAATGTTCTGATCGAAAAAGAGGCTTATATGCTGGGATCTTGACCAAAAGTTCCAAAATTCTCCTCTATAATAATATCTTGAAATAATACTACTGAAATAACAATAATACTTTTGAAAGCTTTTGGTTTCTGTCTCCTCAAGTGCTTAAGTATCTGCCTTGTCCCGTGCTTAGGAGCCACAGACCTTGACACTGTGAATGTTTTCAGAGCACATGAACTAGACTGGGCTCTGCAAAAAAAGAATGCAGTGGGACTTACTACTGAATGAGCATCACCTGCTACAAACAGCAAGGGCTTAGACACACACCACAAGGGCTTAAACTCTTAGTATTGCATGTTTTGGAAAATACTTTGTTCCTTAAAAGCCCAACTGCTGAGTATGAACCTCCTGCCTAAGAGGCAAGCCTTCAATTTTAACAGCTAGCTGTTTAGCCTCTGTATATAAGTGAAGTAGATAACACAGTTCCTAAAGCTTCTTGAAGAGTGCATCATAACCTGTAAAGGGAATTTTCCATGCCATTTTACTACAGACTTAAACAGTGATTCCCCAGTTAAACAGGTTTCTCAGCACTCTGACTTTCACCTCATCTTTACTTGCCAGTTTTATTCTTTCTTGAGGTTCTTTCTTTGCTTCCCAGCTAAAAGTCAGAGTGAATAATCTTCATCATAGCCAGGAGCATGTCTTTGAAGATTGCACACCCTCTCCAGGCTGTAAGCACCTGAACTGAGGGTATTGTTCAGTTGTATTTTCCTCTCTATTGCCCAGGAGAAATCCCCAGAGCATTGCAGCAAGACAAATTACATGGGGGCTGCGTAAAATTAGCAGATGAAGTTTCAGTGAGCAGATTTGTAGTACAAAAAGCAGTATCGATGATTCAATTGGCAGCACTGCTCCGTTACAAGTGCAACATGACATTGGGAACATTTTACTATTGGAGTTTTCTCTTTTTTTAAAGGCAGACGCATCCTACTCCTGCATGGGAGCTCGAATCTCTGAAGAAATATTTTTCATCCATAGTAGAGGGTAATGTCCTTCATGCATTCCACTGTGAATAATTACTTCCTGCTAACGTAAAATTCCTTCTGCTTTCATTCAGACATGGTGCTTGCCACTTTTTCCCCTTTGCTACATGCTTCTGGAGAGTCGCTCTTTGATTAAGAAGTTGGAAGTACTGCCTTTTGGTATCTCTGTAAAGTTTTTACCCCAATTTTAAGGCTACTTTAGAAATGTGAACTTTAATTACTACTAAGTTAAATAAAAAGTATCATTGTATTTATGCCAAAGATAGTCAATTCAAATAGATAAAAATAAAAATAAATTCAAATAAAAATAAAGGAGAGTCTCCTTTAACTTCTTTTCCTGATGTTATTGGGGCAGACTTGAAACAAATTAAATGATTCATGAGTTCATCCTGGCTGGATATCAGTATTTTTTTCTAATACAAAAAGGTTAATGAGCTGGAAAGTGGCTAATGAAAATATTCTAAATGCTAAATCTGTTTCCAGCAGAAATAACCTACGTGCTCGCAATTCCTCTTCAGAGCTGCTGCACTCTATGGTGTCAACAATTACTTAGGGACTGATTAGCACATGGACTATCAACACAACCGACTCTACTGTAATGTATTGTAATTCCCTTTCAAAGGTATTATTAGGACTTTCCAGAGCATACATTTCCACATACTTTATGTAAGAAAGATCTTCTGGGTGTTTAGGTGTTTGTTGTGTCATAATTCCTCTTTGCAGAAGAGCTGAAACAAATACAAGGACTTAAAGGTTAACACTACGATTTGGCCAACTAGGAGTTAAATGGTTGAGAAAGCTTATTGCAGTTGGCCTGCCACAGGTTATTGAAACAACATCTGAATCCAAGATGATTCTTTCTACAAGGGTAGTTCCAGTACAGCCACAGGTGCTTTCTGGTCTTTTGCGAGAGGTGCTGATGAGCACTACAATGCTTAGACTGTGACTGCAGGCTGCTTCATGCAGTCCTGAGTTACCCTTCAATGCTTTGTTTCAATTGCTAAGATAATAATCTATGTTGTTTTTCTGTGAATGATAATTTCTTATAACATAACCTTAGTGATAATATTGCAGTATGTGTGTCTCTTTTTAACATCATCATGTCATACTATAAACATGCAGGAAATAAGCAAATTACTGCTAGAAGAAATTTTGTGGGTTGTTTTTTCTTCTCAGATTGAACCCAGAAAAAAAAAAAAAAAGAGAACTTTTCAGTGCTAAACACTGTGTTAAATGAGATACAGTTTTGTGCATAAGTATATGAAAATCAGCAACAGATGACCAAGTACAGTTTGACTTTCATACTATATTACTGTTGTATTACTATTTCTTGAGCACTGAAGTGTGTAAGGCACCTCTGACAAGAAAAGGACAAACTTATAATGAGTAATTATGCCATTTATGACTTCCACTGGGTATAATGGCTGAAAATAACTGTTATGAAACACCTTTGAAGATTGTACTGTAAGTGTGAGTGTAAAGGCATGAGACTGAAAACCCTTGAAATGTAGCTGACTGTTGCCTAGGCAATATGAAGGGCTTTTTCCATCTTCCTTATATAGCTTTGCCTACAGAATCTGTTTCTCCTCACAAAATTCCAACCATGCCAGGATGAGAAAATGGCAGTGAAAAATAGATGTGAGACAGAGTGATCAGATACAAGTTTAGATTTATAGGATAAATATTAGATATGAATCCAAGACCATCTCTCTCAGACTGAACATTAAGATGCACATCTAGAGGGAATATGCTGCATGGGGAAATAGCACCTGCTATACAAACACCTTATTATAAAACAGTGGTGTCTGAGCTCTTGTCAGGCAAGGACTGAAAGTC